CCTGTTCCCTTGCACATCCTGCTCAGTCCCTCCCAGGGCTGTGGGGTCACCACTACACCCAGTTCTGAGGGAGGGGGGGCCGGGGCTGGGCGAGCTTTAGACCGTGGGCACCCTCAACCACCTGGCATGCCTGGATCTCTTGAAGAGTTGAATCTGGGGATGGCAAGGTAGCCCACACTTATGCTCATGGTCCCCTTTCTTATCCCATGTTCCTCCTCCACCAAGAGCACCCCACCCTGACTCTGCCAATCTGCCTTGATCTTTGGGAAGCAGCACTGGAAGGAAAGCCCCCAGCCTGAGAACCAGGAATCCAGGGGTCTGTTTCAGGTCCGCCAACGGCTTTCTGTGTGACATTGGACAAAGCTCATCACCTCTCTAGGTCAGTTTCCCAACTATAATATGATAAGAATCCATTCTGCCCTACTAACCATGTGCTACTGTGCCAGGAGGGAAAAAGAATTTTTAAAATGGTGGAAGAATTCCTTTTAGAAATTCAACTATCTTGGGGCGCCTAAGGGGGTCAGTTGGTTGAGCGTCCGACTTCAGCTCAGGTCACAATCTCACGGTTGGAGAATTCGAGCCCCTCATTGGGCTCTGTGCTGACAGCTCAGAGCCTGGAGCCTGCTTCGGATTCTGTGTCTCCCTTTCTCTCTGCCCCTCCCCTCTCTCTCTCTCTCTCTCAAAAATAAATAAATATTTAAAAAAGAAATTCAACTATCTTTATTGGGAAAATAGCTTGAGGCCAATTCGGGGCTAAAAGGAGATTGCCTCCACCCCCAAAGTTATGGCGAAAACAGGTGAGCGGTGGTTGGCAATCTTGGCTACAGATTAGAATCACTTGAGGAGCTTTTAAAACAGGGCAGGGGCACCTGGGTGGCTCAGTCGGTTAAGCATCCGACTTCAGCTCAGGTCACGATCTCGCGGTCAGTGAGTTCGAGCCCCGCGTCAGGCTCTGGGCTGATGGCTCAGAGCCTGGAGCCTGCTTCCGATTCTGTGTCTCCCTCTCTCTCTCTGCCCCTCCCCCGTTCATGCTCTGTCTCTCTCTGTCCCAAAAATAAATAAACGTTAAAACACAGGGCTTCCCAGACTCCACTCCCAGCCTGGCAGAGACTGGCTAGATCCCAGTTCCTCTTCCTGAGTACCAAGGAAAACTACATTTCCCAGGCTCCTTTGCAACAATCCAGGGCAACATGATGAGATTCTGGCCAATGGATGTGGGCAGGCTGACCTAGCCAATAAAATCCCTGAGTAATACGCTACACTTTATTCCTCTTCCGTGACCTCTGTGGAGCCTGTTTGTTAAAGAGGGTGGTGTCAAAAATGGAAAGAGGCTGGATCCCTGAGTCACTGCTAGGAGTGACACCCAATTCCTACCAGATGTGATGTGAGCAAGACATTAATGTGAGCGAGAAATTAACGATAAAGCAGTCAGCCTTTGCAGACCTTCCGATTTAACTGACCTGGAGTATGGTCCAGGCAATTGGTTTTTTGTTTTGTGTTGTGTTGTGTTTTGTTTTGTTTGGTGTTTTGTTTTCCACACTTCCGGCGATTCTAATGTGCAGCCGGAATTGAGACCCACTGGATTAGGACAAAAATACAAGTGTGGGGTTGCTAGGTATGGCAATGAAATATCCACTTTCCAAGGACGCCCAGGAGATGGGAAGAAGGCTGTTCAACAATGAGAGGAAGAGGGTCCAGCAACACGGAGGGAGGCGGGGGAGCCCAAAGGGAAAGGTTGACCAGAAAAATATTCTATGTGCTGGGAATGATCAGGGAACATTCAGAGTTGGGGTATTTAACATTCAATTCTAAATTCTCATCAGAGCCGTTAGGTGGAAGACGTAAGCCCCTATGGTTGCTTCCAAATCACCGGTAAAGTCAGCCCCCACGCTTGTCCTTGTGCGAGTGGATGCTTTGGGGGAAATGGAAGGAAGAAAGCCAGTTCCACATTTGGTTGTTACAGGGAGAAGGGAACAGCTAGAGCCCCCTGCCGAGAATCCCCAGTGAACATTCCAGGCTCCCCTGAAGAATGCAAGGTGGGAAGGAAGGCTGATGCCTTCACCCTGAAGGATCTGACACACACACACACACCCATGGTGACATGTGGGTGACATTTCAACCAGCTCTCTATGGCATGTATGGTTGAGCACCTAGAACCAATCCCAGCATTAGCGCTGGGAGAGTCCATGATACTTTTACAGAGAACGAACCTAAGAGGTACAGGGGCCTGCTCCACACAGCAAGTTCTGGGTGAAGTGATTAGCCATGGAGTCCCTGGGTCCCCTGGCCCCCATGAATGTTCGCAGACCCCCGGCTCCGAGCATTTAGAACAAGCATTTTCTGGGGACAGGGCATGTGGAATGGTGGAATGCGAAATCTTAGAAGACATCACAGGACACAAGACGATTCACTCCAACTCCCATTCCAGAATCACTTGTGCTGGGTTCCCCCCTCTCACCCTGTCCAGAAGCCATCCACCGGGCCCCCACCAAAGACAAACAGAGCCCAGAAGCCTTTGTTTTCACATTTAATCAAAGGAAAAGAAAGAAAACTAGTCAGAGCAAAAGCTCAAGAATTGACTGAGGGAGGAGAGAAGAGGGGACAGGGCCACCAGGCTGGCACTGAGTGTGGACAGTGGGGGGCAGAGTCCTCATTATCCTGAGGTGCCTCAAATACAAGCGTCTGGGGCGAGGTGGCGGGGGAGGGGGGAGATGTAACATGGTGGGCACACACCTGTTCCAACCCAGCCCTGGGCCGGGGGGGGGGGG